CTCAGAAGACAGAAAACACATTTTGGCAATGATGTACATTTGTCCCCCCAGCCTCACAGAGGGTCCTGCCAACCCCATGGGCACCTGGCAGTGGAGCAGCAGAGCTGTTCCATACTGGGGTCTCTTCTCCTGCCCCACCCAACCCTCTGCTCTGGAAAGGAGCACCCACACCACAGTTCTGCTGCCCCCTCTAGCAGAACCCCCTCAGCAGCCACATCCGACCCCTGGACTCTGCTGCTCAGCCTCGGCTCCCCAGCCTTGTGCTGCATCACTCAGATCAAAGTTTGAAGCGTAACACAGAAATCCCCAGAAAGCATTTGGATTTCACAGGTAAGTCAGACAGCTGCCTTAAGGCAACCAGATCTGCTAGGAAACCCTTCCCAAGGGGTTTGGAAGTATGTGTGTAGAAAGAGAGTGAAGCAATTGTAAGGAAAAACAGGTAAGAAAATAAGCAAAACAAAACAAACCATACATGCAGCAATGGACTTGCATCTTATTGATAATGAACATTAAAAAAAAAAAAAAGGTGTAAGTGGCAAGACTGCCAGACCTCTGTGACCCCAGTGAACTGCATTTCCCTGATGTCAAGAACCATCAGAAAAATGATGTAGAAAATTTGTAACTTGCTTTTTGTTTCAAGGAAAGTGTTTCAACTCCAACTCCCAGAGCAGCCCTAGGACAGATCTCCTCAGTATGATGCCACCACTGGAAGCACCTGGACTGAACTGCAACAAGCACTTCAACATCCCATGTTACCTAACCCACTCAAAGCCTCTTTAGAGCAACACAGAAACTGAAGCACCAGGAACCAAAAGCCAAGCAACCAGAAGGGAAGGGTGAAGGGTCTCACATTCATTCATTCATTCTTTCATGTCCCTTCCTTCCATCCCTCTGCGCAGGGGGAGGACACTTTGCTCTCTGTGGAAATACTTTAGGAATAAGCAGTTGACCCTATCCAGAATAAAATAACTGATCCTATTCTAGGCAGAGAGCAAGACAACTAAATACAATCCAGGAGATCACATTTGACACATCACTGGCCCCATTAGCAAGGCACAAGGGCTCTGGCGAGCAGAAGGGCCTGGGGCTGACAGCTCTGTGAGCAGGACCAAAGGCTCCTGACAGCCACGCTGCCCCAGCAGCCCTGCTGAGAGCTGCTCTCACTGCACCTTCGACAGGAGGCAGAGATCTGACCATGGCAACACTTCCAGGAGCTCCTTCATAACTCAGGAGTTCGTGATTAACTCCCAAAGAAGTGCCCAACACAGCTGGCAGATTGCTTGTCCCAAAGTGAGATATTTGCACCAAATGCATTCCCAAAACACCTTGAAATGAGTTTCAAACAGCTACCTGGAAATCTCACACTAAGTTTAAAAATAAATAGAAAAGGAAGCAGCACTTTTAACCTGGCACAATAATCCCTGCTCTACCAGCAGGGACTCGTTCTGGGTTCAGATCCAATTCTGACAATCCAGCCCAACAGAGTTATGGTGACCGTGCTGTATTTGCTGAACATGCTGCAGGTCACAGCCAAGGCCATCTTCTTGTAGGAGGAGAAATGCAATGCCAGCCCTGGAGTGCAAAGGGTCTTGTTAAACACTGGCATGCTTCAGTGGTCAACTGCCTTAGAGCCCCAGAGAAAGTCTCAAAACAGTAAGAGCCTCACCATTCACACAAGACCCACACTCCACAGAAGGCAGAGGATTTGCATAAGAACATAATTTTTCAAGCCCAATTAGTTTAAATGAAAATCCTTCTCACTGACGACCCCCACCATCACCTCCGAGTGCTGCAATACAAAGGGCACTCTGTCCCCTGTCTGACACTCCCAGGAACTTTGCAGGCAGGACGGGACAGCTCCCTGCAAAAAAACAACCCCAAAGCCCTGCCTATACAATAGATGTTTGTCACCATTGTCACACCATCACAAAGGGGAAAGAGGAAGCACAAGCTGCAATATCAGCCCCTGTTATGAAAGCAGCAGCTTTGTTTGGGCAGGAAAACAAAACCCACTGAGCAATCGGAAGGGAAGGATTGTTCAAGCAAACAGCAGAGGAGCACAGGACCAACGGGAAAGTCATCCTCAGCAGAGACACCCAGGAACTACCAGCCCTGCCATGGTGCCCCCGTTCTGTTCCCAGCCCAGGAACCAAACCCTTCTGCTTCCACCTCTCAGTCCAGTCCTCAGGGACCTTTTCCTGCTACCTCAGCCTTCCCCACCCCTGCCTTCCCCTGCTCTGTCAGCACTCCTGACCTCCCCTCTCTGTGCACAAGCTCTCTGCCAGGCTCTCCCCTCAACCTGCAACTACAAGATGAACCATTTATCACAAGCCAGTTGTTCAAACTGCGTTTTCCTTAGTTTCAGCAGCTACATCATTCAGAGACCCATGACATGGGTTATTTCCTGAAGACCAACTTAAAAAGAGAGAAGACACTACCAAGGAAAACCAGCTGAGGGTAAAAAGCATTCCAAAAATAATTCCTTCAAAGGCCCCTGTCCACAAGGACTCTAAGACATGCTTCCTTGAAAATAATTCCCTCTCTTCCAAGAGAGCAGCCTACACATAAAAGAATGAGCAAAAAAAGAAGCATTATCCTTTGTCCTAAAATACATTTAGTACCTGAAGAGAAGTATTTAGGAATTAGCAAGTGCCTTTGCCCAGTTACATTTGGTGCCAAAAGAGGAAAAATAGCAAACAAAACAACACATGGATTTGAAAGCATGCTGAATAAAGAGCCTCTTGCCTATCAAATAAATATTACTGTCAGTGGCTATTACTGTTGGAGGGAAAGCCCAAAATTACTCTGTGAAAACATTTACACCCTTAAAAACAATTACATCAAGGCAGATCAGGAATGTTCCACCCTCTAAGCAGAACAAGCTGGGGGGATGTTTTCCTTGTTTTGGGGAGAAGCAGCAGTTTCTAGAATGAAAATACTGATCTTTGCCTTTCTCCAATCTAAGCCCATTGTTTACATTTGTAAATGATGTGTGCAAATCTGCTGCTGAGAAAAAGTTTAATTTAAAACTGAATTTAATAGCAGGTTCAGGCAACTTAACTGCCTTTAGAAACATTAATTTCATATCAGAAGTAATTGAAGTTCCTCTATAAGGGAACAGCACCGACACAACAACACAGTCCTGCAGCAGGACCCAGGCTGCTGGCACCGTGCAGCGCTGAACTGGATCGACTGGGACCAGATTCCCTCCAGCAAGAGGCTTCTCAAAACCTCCAGGGACCTGGCAGGTCAGAGATGGACGGGCACAGCTCCATCCACAAGCAGAACTGCACTCGCTTCCTGTCAGCAGTGCCTGCAAACAGCAAAGTTCTGCTCTCAACACCCGCGGAACACGGCCTTAATTTAATCCCTGGCCGTGATGCTCTTCCTCCTGCTGCCACTCGTACCCAGCCCTGCTCCCACAGCCTGCGTGAACAGCAGAGCCTGGCCTAGAAAGAGAGCTGCTCCGCCTTCTATCAGCTCCACTGTCAGAAGACAATCCTGCTGTCACAACCCTTTTTCCTGCTATTACTCAGGAGAAATCCACAATTTCTTCTCCTGCCACACCACCTCAGGAGCAGTGACAGGTCAAGGTGAGTGCCCCGTGGTGCTGCCAAGACTGGACTCGGCGAGTGATCGGCTTTCCAAGAGCTCCCCCACAAAAACCTGTCCTGAAAAGACCAGAGCCACACGTGGTTCTTGTGGCAGGCATCCTGAGAGAAGGCAAACAGCCAGGGTCTCCAGGGAATACCCCCTGCAGGACAGGTGGGTGCAGCTGCCTCAGAAGACACAGGAGAAGAGAGGGAAGAGGTGCTGGCCATGCAAATGACTGGGGGTGCCAAAGGCCACTGCCACCTCAGAGGAACCTCTAGGACATCCCACCATCCAGCAGGCACCAAGGGAGAGCTGACTTTGGGACCAGTCTCCACCTGCTATACACCCCAGCTGAACTGCACACAGAGGGCTGTCAATGTTCTCACTGTTTTCATGCATTTGAACATCCCCTCTGCAAGAAAAGTACCCCTAGAAGTGGTAGAGACACTCCCCTAAGTGTCTCTAACTTGATGGTGTGGAGGCTACCACCCACCCTCTGATTCTCTCACACAGCCAGAGAGTCTTCTGTGCCAGGAATAATACTTCTCCCTATTCCAGGAGGCAAAGCAGGCCTAGGGCACTTTTAAAACAGTTGTGCCTGATTTCATCCAAAGCCCCGGCAGGGTGTTTTTACACCACAGTGCAAGGACCAAGCCCTCTGCTCCAACAGCTCCTGGGCAAACTACGAGGCCAGGCAGGGCAGGGGCTGTCAGAACCGCAGCACAGGGGCTGCAGCAGGAGAACACCGCGGGGCCAAACACCAGCGAGTCCCAGCAAGAGAGTACAAGCAGGTACTCCTGAAACACACTCCCCAAATCAGCCCAGACCCACAAGTTCTTGGTTAGCAGACTACGAGGCACAGCTCTCAACAGCCTCCTTGCCTGCACGCTCACAACTCCCAAACAACAGTTAGTTGCAACTTCCCTAATGGTAGCACAGTAGAGGAACGAAACAGTAAAATGGGTATTTCCACCGATAAAAACCATCCAGAGCCATCAGCCAGCATCAAACACCATGAGCCAAGAGCACAGTGGCAGCAGCTGTGCCACCCGCAGGGCGCTGCCGTGGTGCCCGGCGCTGTCCCCTGAGCAGGGTCTGCTGCTCCGGGAGGATGCTGCGAGCAGGGACGGCACTCCGGAGCGCTGGCACGCGCTGGCAAGGCCAGAGGCTTCTTCCCACCGCGTGCGCGCTCGGACCGGCGGCGAGATACCCACCACAGCCGGTGACCGGGACAGCCGGTGTGATGGTGAGGCGTCGTGTCGCGTCTGGACCTGTTGTGAGCCACGGCACCACCGGCTGAGCCCCGAGCCCCGCCACCTCCGCACCGCGGGCACCCGCCCTCCGGGGCCGCTGCCGGCGGCCCTGCGCTCGCTGCTCCCGCCCGGACGGGACAGGCCCCGGCTCACCTTGAAGTCGCGGCTGTGCTGCGGGGTGTACTCGAGCGTCCAGAGCGCCCGCACCAGCTGCGCCAGCTGCTCCGTGACCTCGCCGGGCGCGGGCGGCGGCCCGTCGGCGGGGGGCGGCCCGCCGCGGAACTGCTCCAGCGCCAGGAACTCGGCGAAGAGCTCGGTGTTGCTGAGGCACTGCAGGATGGCGTTCATGAAGCAGGTGTTGCCGTGGTTGCGCAGCCCCGCCACGCCGGGCACGGCCTCGGAGGTGCCGGCGGGGCGCGGCGGGGGCTCGGGGCTGCGCGGCGGGCCCGGCGGGGCGGTGGCGGGGGTAGGTACCGGGACGGCCGCCCGCCGGCCCATCGGCAGCGGCGCCGGCACTGCGAGAGGAGCATGGCGCCGGAGGGCGGCCGAGGTGAGGCGCGGCGAGCGCGATCCCCCCGGGACGGCCGTTCCGGGGATCACACACCGACGGGGGTGGGATGGCGGGTGACGGCTCCGGGGGGACGGGACGGGACGGGACGGGACGGGACCCTGCGGCCGCGCTGTGGCGGGGCACCGGGCGGCGGGCGGGCGCCGGTCCCCCAGCCGCCCCCTCAGTGCCCGGTTCTCCCGCAGCGGCCGCCACGGCCCCCGGTAAGAAGATCACGGCGCGGCTGAAGCGGACGCTGCCGGTGCGCGGCCCGCAGGCGCCCACGCTGAGCGAGCTGATGCGCTGGTACTGCCTCAACACCAACACGCACGGCTGCCGCCGCATCGTGGTGTCCCGCGGCCGCCTGCGCCGCCTGCTCTGGATCGTGCTGACCCTCACCGCCGTGGGGCTCATCCTCTGGCAGTGCGCCGAGCTCCTCATGAACTACTACAGCGCCTCGGTCTCCGTCACCGTCCAGTTCCAGAAGCTGCCGTTCCCCGCCGTCACCATCTGCAACATCAACCCGTACAAGTAAGGCTTGGGGAGCTGCTGGGAGGATGGCGGCTCCGCACAGCGCCAGGCTCCTTCCCGAGCTCGTCCCGGTGCTCCGTGTCAGCACTTTCCCCACCGAGGGTTTTCCCTGTAGGGCACCTGGTGTGCCACATCCCCCTCTGTGCTGCGTGGCTTACACTCTCACCCCTCACTGCTGCCTGCTGACCTCGGCTCGGTTCGTGCTGCTTTCTGCTCCAGACAGTCCCTGTCACCTCTTTGGCTCTCTTCAAATTCCCTTCCTCCCAGGACCGAAGTTCCAGGATTACAAACAGCATCATCTCCTAAAAAATGGAAAGGGCACATCTCTCACTCCTCTCTTGCTTCTTTCTTTCCCTATGGGAGGTTCTGACATGATTCATCAACAATACTTTTTCTCCTGTCAAATCATGCTTTACATGGCTCTCTGTTCTGCTGCCAGATTCCCACCCCGGTCCCCATGGGGATCCAGCTCTTTGATGACGCTTCACAGATGAAGTCTTATTTCCACATACTCTGCCTCCTCAGACTTCCCAACATAAGGAGTTTGAGGGTCTTGGGAGAACTTTCTCTGTAGTTCAGTCTGCTCTGCTTCCTGGGGTCCTTGCTCCAAGATCTCTCCATGGACATAGCTGTGTCTGCCCTCACTGATGTGACAACCTGGTGGGAGGCTTCCACAGGGAATTCTGTCCCAAGCCGTGGCATCCACAGTGCAGCCGGCAGAGAGGTGGGATGGGATGTCACTGTCGCCTTGTCTCCCGTGCAGGTACAGTGCCATGAAAGAATATTTATCTGAATTGGACAAAGAGACAAAAAAAGCTTTGGAAACTTTCTATGGATTTTCTGAGGGCAAGTCCAAGGTGCGCCGGTCGGTGGATGACTGGAACAGCACAGGGAGCGACTTCTTCGAACAGATCCCTCTGCTGAAGGTCGAGGACTTCTCCAGGACAGCGACTGACCTGCACAGTGGGCAGAAGAGGAAAATAGAGGGAAGTGTCTTTCACAAGGACTCGTCCATCGTGAACTCGGGTGATTCCAATGACATAATTGGCTTTCAGCTGGTGAGTGTCACTGTGCCCTGGCCAGCAAGTTCCCTGTGGGGCAGCAAAGGGCTGTGCTGGGGTCAGTGTCCCTCTGGCAGGTTTTATTGCCTGCTCAGGTGGCTCTGCAGTGCACAGTGGTGAAGAGCACTCTGTCTGCTCTTCTGCCTAAGCCTCCATGGCTGCTGCAGATTCCCCTCTAGAGAAGTACCTTCCTGAAGTCTTCCCAAATAGTCAGTGTCATCTGTGGCCTTTCTTTTGGTCCTGAAATATTTGGTGATATTACTTAGCCCTGCATAAAAGGTCTTTGATGCCCGCTGTAACTTCATACATGGTTATTTCTGTGGAAGAGAAACACTGTCAGATGTGCCATCCTTAATTTACACCTGCCTTGTAGAATCCCTGATTTCAGTCCGTCTGAAATGCTTTTTCCCCTCTGTGCTTGTCAGTGTGACGCAAACAACAGCAGTGAGTGTGCCCTGTACACGTTCAGTTCGGGTGTTAACGCTATCCAGGAGTGGTACAAGCTGCACTACATGAACATCATGGCACAAATTCCCCTGGAGACTAAAGAAAAATTGAGTTATTCTGCGGAGGACCTTATACTGACGTGTTTCTTTGATGGCCTATCTTGTGACAAAAGGTCAGTGCACAGAAAATTCCTGCCATCTTAACAGCTTATTTCCAAGTCCATAATATGTAGGAATGGAATATTTGGTATTTGCTGAATTCTGGCAGAAGCCACTGCTAGGTCTGTGAATCTGCCTCCCCCATGCTATTAACCCCCATTCCCGCATTAAAACTTCCTCGAGTTCCCATCTCCTGAAATACTAAACTAGGTCATACTGCCACGTAGTTTCAAGTTACTCAGAAAGAGACCCACATCTTTCAGCAAAATAAACTTCTTTTCAATAAGTTTAATAAGCCCCCCATGCAGTCCTGGTCTGTCTCTGTCAAAACCGAAGTCCAAATGTGCTGCCTTTCTCCCACAATGTCACGATATTCGATTTCTTCCAGGCACTTCACTCGTTTCCATCACCCCCTCCACGGCAACTGCTACACCTTCAACAGCGGCGAGAGCGGGACCGTCCTGAGCACCTCCACGGGTGGCAGCGAGTACGGTGAGTGCCTGTGCACACCTGGGCTGTTCCGGGGCACACTGCACACCTGGGCTGTTCCAGGGCTCTGCACACCTGGGCTGTTCCGGGGCCCTGGCACACCTGGGCTGTTCTGGGGCACATTGCACACCTGGGCTGTTCCGGGGCACACTGCACACCTGGGCTGTTCCGGGGCTCTGCACACCTGGGCTGTTCCGGGGCCCTGGCACACCTGGGCTGTTCCGGGGCCCTGTGCACACCTGGGCTGTTCCAGGGCCCTGCACACACGTGGTGTTCCGGGGCACTTTGCACACGTGTGGTGTTCCAGGGTGGTTTGCAGAGGAACTGTTTGATAACAAGTGGTTCAGCAAACTGGATCCTGCTGGAGCGTGAGCGATGTGTTGGCTGTAGATGTACAGGCTGATTGGGGAAATGCCTGTTTGAACTAGTGCAAACTCTTGCCTGAGAATACAGATAATATCATTGCATCACTAATGTTTTCCAGCTGAAATTACTGCTGCCCAGTTATATAACTTTTTAAAGTGAGTTCCAGCCACATTCTCAGCTTCTGACATGCCATTGCTGTACTCAGTACCACCAAGGGATGTTACTGGCTGCAGGTGTCTTGGTCTGGCTGAGCAGAGGCTGTGCTTGGCTGTTACAGTTCTGCTTAAGGCCAGATAACATGAAACAAACCGTGCTGCCCTCCCTGACCAGAAAACGTGGCTCTAGCTCCTGGTGTAACTTCCTGCCTTGTCTCTGTGGCTCAGGATTGCAGGTTGTTCTGTACATCGACGAAGCAGACTACAACCCCTTCCTGGTGACATCCACAGGAGCCAAGATCATGATCCACGACCAAAACGAGTATCCCTTCATTGAAGACATTGGCACGGAAATTGAGACTGCAGCAGCCACCTCCATAGGGATGCACTTTGTGAGTAGCAACAATCTCCTTTTCAGGCACACCTTTGCCTCGGTACAGCTGTAAATAGGAACTGATGGGGTGATTTCAGAGAGCCAGCAGCTCGAAGGCCTTTAAATACCTCCCACTCAGCAGCTGAAGTGCCCTGAAGGAAATCCTGTGACAGCACTTTTCTGAAAAATAGACCGTGGGAAAATCAGGTCTTTCTAAACCAAGCTGGCCTGGGATATTGTTTGTTCTCCTTTTTCTTCCACCCCTTGGCTTTCCAGGGGATTTTTGGTTTTGTTTTCACAGCAAAATCCACAACCACAGAAATGTATTGTCAAGTGCCTTGTTTGGCTTTAGCAGTGAGCAGGGAGTTTCACCCCGCCAGGGTCCCCGGGCGGAGGAGCTGGAGCTGTGGGTCCCGCGCTGGGGTCGGCTCCTCAGGAGTGGCGACAACGCAACCCCTTGAACTGTTTTGTGAATGTAAACCTCATTTCGCTGGTTTTCTCTCTGTCCCAGCAGTAAACCACTCCCGTGGGCAGCAGCTTTGCTTTTGCCAGCAGTGAGCAAAGGCAAGGAGAGCTGCAGCTCTGCTCTCCCCATTTAGTGTAGTTCAGAGGAGGCATTCGGCCCAAGGGGGTTCGGCACAGCAGCGAAAGCTGTGTCAGGTCCCCTTTCATCTGGATGGGCTGTTAAGTGAGCACTTCAGCTCTGCCTTTCTTTCTGGTGGAGCATCAGCCATCCTGCTTATCTGGGTATGCCGCATCAGATAGGCCCTGCATTAGAAAAGGCATTAAAAGAGGGCTGATGTTTTACAAAATGCAGATAGTTATCTGTCTTCCAGCTGTCTGGAAAACTGGCAGCAACTCCTTGGTCAGGCATGACTGAGAGGTTTGGGAGCCAGGATGGTGTGAGGACACGAACTCTCTTAAGACTCTGTCACCGTCACACTGTACAGAGAAGGTCACACAAGGCAGTCTCAATATTTAAAGTAATGTGCTCCTAGCACAATAGGGTTGAACTTTTGCTGTAGCATCAAAAGCAAGATACATCTTAATGTCTGTATATAAAAGATTTGTCACGAGGAAGGGATCCAATTGCATCCTAATGAGGCAGCCAAAATAGAAGCTGGACACAATTTCTGGTCTCAGAAAAAAGCTGGGGGTCACTGTCCTGCTGGGGAAAAACAACTCCGGAGAGCCTGCTGAGTGGTGGGGGTCAGGACAGGGCTGCAGCACCGAGGTGCCAGATCAGTGCCTGTCCCCACGTGCAAGGTCACAAAGGAGGACACAGCAGCTGCGTCCCACGGTGCTGCTCGCTGGGCTCTGA